CAGGCGCCGGCCACCGCCCCAGTCCGATCATGATGGCATTTTGTTTTAGTGTCTGTCCCTGTGCCTGTTCCAGGTCCCGTTCCCGAGTGGGTCGGCCGACGCCCCTCCCATTCTCGTTCCTGAGCGGGTCAGCCGGCGCGCCTACGCCACCTTTGTTCTGGTGCCTGTTGAACTGCGTCGAAGTCATCCTCCAGAGCAGCCTCCGGAATGTCCTCCCCGGTTCTCGATCTTGTCCGGTTGATGATGGCTGTCGTCTTTTCTTTGTGTTTTGTGGTGTGTGTGTGTTTCCTGGCTTGTCTTTGCTGTTATTCTTTGGTTGCCCGAATTGTTTCCTTGGTCTTTCTCCCTGGGTTTCGTTGGGTTTTCCTGTGTTTGGCTGGTGTTTTTTGTTGGTCACGGGCTGGGGTCGGCATTTATGGCCCTGTGGCCGTCTGTTTTTGGTGCCCTCTTTCTGAGCCCCTGCCTCCATCCCTGCTCGGCCCTGTTTTGTTTTTGGGATGTCTGGCAGCCATCCTTGTGGGGGGTACTGTTGCGGTTTCGCATCGCTCGGTCTCATGACTTTGTGTTTCTGTTTTCCTTGTCTCTCCTCCCTGCTCTGTCACTGTGATCAGTAATCATGTCACTCACCTGCTGCTCATTGTCTCCCGGTCCCGTCACATATATAAACCCTGTCTTCCGCTGCTTCTTTGCTGGCTCATTCCAATGTCAGACCCGGACATTCACTGCAATCTTCACCTAGATCATGCTGTCTGCTACAGGTTGTCTACGCCATCTCACCCCGTGTTTTCTCCATGTTTCCTGGCTTGTCTTTGCTGTTATGCTCCGCTCTACGTATTTAGGTTTGGTTTGAGCACTCGCTGCCTCTGCATTTGCAGTGCGCCACTTCTCTGTAGCTGCCGGCTCACCTGCTCATCTTCTGGTTTATGTGTGTGCCTCCTGCTGCCAGCTCACATGCTCGTCCTCTGGTTCCTGTGTCCCTCTTGCTGCCAGCTCTCCTCCTTCGTCTTCTGGTTCCTTCGTCCTCTTGGTTCCTCGGTTGCTCCCTACCTGCTCGGAGCCTGCTCGTCTTCCTGCCAGCCAGCATAACCTGTGTTTGTGCAATAAACTGCTTTCTTTAGTTCCCCTTCCTCTAGTCTGTCTGCTATTGGGGTCCACACCATACACACGCCGCCCGGCCATAACAGTATGTCACTTCTAAAATGGGGGGAAATCAGAACTAAAGGCCCATCTGTAATATTTAAAGTAACAGTTTCTCTCCATAGTTGAGGAAAATAAATGCTGTGGCCAGTATCCAATTTCTTGGATTATATTATTAGCGTATTGTATATCCTGAAATGCTTTGCAAGAGCAAATACTGAATGTATAAAAGTGTTGTGTTCCTCTGCCCCCCATTCTTATCTGTTCACCATGTGAAATGTCCTGCGAACAGTTCAGTTTGGAAAAGTCAACAACTTTGGTTCCACTCAATTAAATTTAAGACTAGAATCCACTTCATGAAGCAAGTTATTAGAACACATCAACTAATTTCCCAAGAATTCTCTGAGAACAGGTTGGAATATTAAGAAGCTGAGTATGCCTGTACACATTTTAGCACTATACTCACACCCCAGCAGTTATTCCTACTGTATTTTTCCTCCCTTTCGATGAGATTTTCCATTTCCTTTTCCATGTCAGGGGTTACCAGTTTCCTTCTCTTGTGTCACCAAAGTATC